TAAAGTGCAAGTTTTCCTTTGTATCGATCAGCAAAAAAGTTGGTGTTTGAGTTAATTGCCTTTGCTTGACATTGAACGTCCTGCAATGTGACTATTGCTCAAGGGCACATTGTGATGACGATGCAATGCTATTGTGCAGCCCTAATAGTTTAGTAGGCCTGTTGAATTTAATATGAATGAGTTTATTTTTAACACCTCACTGAAGACATGCCATGTGCCAGCGTGCTTCAAAGCCTCCATTATCATCCCTGTCCCCAAAAAACCAAGGACCACTGGACTAAATGACTACAGACCTGTCGCCCTGACCTCTGTGGTTATGTCTCTTCTCCCTGTACAACAACTGCTGCACCTCCAGTCACCAGTCTGTCAAGCTCCTGAAGTTCACAGACGACACCACCCCCATTGGGCTCATCTCTGGTGGAGATGAGTCTGCCTACAGGTGGGAGATCAACCATCTGGTGACCTGGTGCAGCCAGAACAGTCTGGAGCTCAACGCTCAGAAGACAGTGGAGATAATCATGGACTTCAGGAAGAGCCCAGCCCCACCCTCCCCCATCATCCTGTGTGACTCCCCAGTCACTGAGTATTACAGGCTTAAAGCCTTTCTGAATAAACAAACACCCGTTTGTTTGACTTTACCTGAAGTTCGCAAAAGAAACACAATTTAAGAACATTTGCAGGGCACACAAAAGGGACCAGATTCAGGATCAGAAACACAAATGGAGATTGTGTTTCTGCAAAAGAACGCCTCAAATATGTTTAATCAGGAATCATACTAATATGCTACCTGCATGCAGAGCAATTTATTCTCATAAAGAAGGTGAACAGGAGGACAAATTACATTATAATTGACAGCGTTTTCAATGTGTCAGACAAGCAAATATGAGTATGTACGTTGTCTTATCGAGCCAAACAATAATAAAAATAAACAAATGAAGAGGCGGATAACAATAACATCAGGACATAAGGTTTTAAATTTTGTTTGTTGCTTTTCTATTATTTCTATCTATCTATATCTATCAGTTTTCATAATTGTGGAATTTGCCAAAAACTAGAAACATTTTTGTCCATTGAGGTTTTTTCCAAATAAATTCAAACATCACCATCATGAAGCAGGACCGTCTGACCTGTTTAAAGTTTCACATATCAATCCAAAATATTTAGGAACACACTCAAAAGAAAGACACGTGAGAAATACTTTGAGGAATCACATCCAACAAGATTTTTTTTTATAGATATGTTTCTGATTGTCTCCAAACCTGTTTCCTCTTCAGATCCCATAAAAACAAGAGCAAAACATCTGCATGGAGGAAATTATTTTCTACAAGGTGTTTCAGTTCAGTTCCTAACAGAGGTGATCTCACTGCAACTCAGTGTTTCTTACTACATGTTTTATTTCTGTAACTTACCAATGAACAGTCCTTCTCTAGTCTGATGACTGACTGGTGTCCTCATCAGGGTTTAGAGATGACTGAGGTCCAGATATTTTGTTTCTTAATAAAGCTTACACCTAAACACAACCAACGTTTTACACAAAAGTCACAAACTAATGGTCTATAAGGAAATACAAAGGGACCTGTTGGCAGAACAATCTTTTATTAAAGCTGAATGTTGCTCTCTTCTTCTTCTGTGTGTGTGCATTGAAGGATTGAACCAGCACTGTGTTTGGTTGAAGAACACACTAACTACTGGCTGTCCATAGTCTTTCTCCAGGTTGTGTAAATGTGAACACTCTGTATCATATTCTTCACAACATGTTTTAGAGTAACGGAACAAAATGTTTACTTAAATGATCCTTTAATGCCAGTTAAATGTTCCAGTCTCTGCAATAGGATCTGATGGTCAATGGTATCAAATGCAGCACTAAGATCTAATAAAACCAGTACAGAGACAAGTCCTTTGTCTGATGCAATAAGGAGGTCCTTAGTAATTTTCACCAGTGCTGTCTCTGTGCTATGATGAGCTCTAAATCCTGACTGAAAATCCTCAAATAAACTATTGCTCTGTAGAAAGTCACACAGCTGTTTAGCAACTGCTTTCTCCAGAACCTTAGAGAGAAATGGAAGGTTAGATATAGGTCTATAGTTGGCTAAAACATCTGGATCAAGTTTGGGCTTTTTCAGAAGAGGTTTAATTACAGCTACTTTAAAGTACTGTGGTACATAGCCTGTTGATAAAGATAGATTGATCATATCTAATATAGAAGTGCTGACTAAGGGTAAAACATCTTTAAGCAGCCTAGTCGGGATGGGGTCTAAGAGGCAGGTTGATGGTTTAGATGAAGAAATTATTGAAGTTAGTTGGTAAAGATTGAGGGAAGCAAAACAGTATAAACATATATCTGGTTCTACAGCTGTTTCTAAGGTTCCTGAGTTAAGAGATAAATCAGTACCAGTTGAGGGCAGGAGGTGATGTTAGTATTTTGTATTGTGTATTTTAAGTTAGTATTATGTATATATTAACTGTGTTGGTTATTGTTTACTCATTGTGTTGCCCCTGGTAACGTGTGAAATCCGGAAGCGCTCAATTCGTTCTGAAATTATGGCTGAAAACCTATTTTGAGGTCAGTGACCTTTGAGAAAGTGCCATCTACTCAGTGTGAAATATGGTCACAAGCTCCCCTTCTGTTCCTGAGTTATGGTGTTGAATAATGGCCAAAACAGTGAAGCTGACCTCTGACCTTTTGGGTAAAAAATCATCACTTCATTGTTGTTTCCCGTGAAACATCTGTATGAAATGTTGTAAGAACCCCTGCATCTGTGCTGGAGTTATGACAAAAACATGTTTGTCAAGGCCACCTTCAGGTCACAGTGACCTTTGACCCCTAAACTCTAATCAGTTCATCTTTGAGTCCAAGTGGACGTTTGTGTCAAGGTCGTACGGATAGACACACAAGCTGAAAACACAGTCTCACAGTTTATGAAACTGCCTTTATTGACTATGATTTTTTGATTTGATTTGATTTTGATTTATTAGGCAGTAACAAAAATAAATGCTTTATAAGATGCCATCACAGTGATTTTATACATTTATCAGAACTGTCGAGGAAAACACAAGAAAGTTACAAACTCATTTCCATTGTGGTATGAACACAGCAGATGACAGTGAGACATTTATTGATCTCCATCATCTCATCTCTCTGTGTACTGAACCTCCCAGCAAACACACCTGCACAGGTGAGTGTGAATGTCTCCTGATGACGTCAGGTTTTGGTTGTTTAATGGTTGTGAGCAGAGGGTCACATGGTGCCGTCCTTTTCACGTCCAATAATGATCCGCTGGACCCGACTTCAAAAACCCTGAAAGTCTGTCTCCACATCTCTCTGTGCAACACAAGGGTGTGTTTCATTTCTTATTTTATTTATAAAAATGTCATCATATCATCTTTAACTGGTTAACAGATGTCCTAAAATGATGTCCTCTCCACGCAGAATAAACATCAAATTTTTATTCATTTGTTCATCTTTATGATCTCTGAAGGCTCCTGCTACACACATCTTCATATTTCTATTCAGGTTATTTAGTTAGTTATGAGGATATTTCACAGCAAAATGTGCAAAAAATACTTAAAGTACAAGAGAAATTCTTACAAAATAAGCAACTTATTTACTAAATGATTCAACATGATTATGAAATCACCTAAAACCTTAATTGAAAAATTTTAAAAGTTACAAAATTAATCAGAATTCTTATGAAATACACAAAATGTATCATAAAAAGGTGTTCTTGCTCCCATTTGTATAATTTTGATGATTTTTTGTCAGATTTGAGCTAAATGTGCTTGACATGCTTCACTTTTATTTAATTTGATTTGAACAGTATTGTGCTAACATTGTTCCAGATCCGCCTGGGTCGGTATGGCCGAAGCCTGTAAAGCAGATTTTGTGATGTTATTTGTGTGAGACTGGGAAGGAAGGGTGAGTCCAAGATGATTCCCGGATTTCACATTTCTGGTGATGCAGAAATGGAGCAGCCATCTACCTCCAGGAGGACATCAAAGACCTTCTTCAGCAGCGACGCTGGAGCCACCACCATAAGTTCAGTTTTATTGTTGTTGAGTTTGATGAAGTTAGCAGTTGTCCAAGTCTTTGTGTCTCGCAGGCAGTTAACAAGTGGCAAGGGTACAGCTGGGTTGAGAGTTGGTCGCTTATGTACAGCTGAGTGTCATCAGCATAGCAGTGGAAATTAAGTCCATGTAATCTAGCCAAGGGTTAGCATGTAGATATTGAAAAGAAGGGGTTCACCAAGTACAGATCCCTGGGGCACACCATTGTTAACTGGCACCAGCGTGATGTTTAAGTCTTTAAAGGTGCCAGTAAGGCCAATATGGTCAGAGAGGCTGTTAAGGAGGGTGTGGGAGATAGCGTCGAAGGCTGCAGAGAGGTAAAAGAGGATGAGGATAGAGAGCAGTCTCTGTGTTGTGATGCACACCGAAACCAGATTGGTGGGATTCAAATAGTTTATCATGTAGAACACATGGTGTTGGGCAGCCACAGCTCTTTCCATGATTTTATTGAGGAAAGGTAGATTAAAGATTGGGTGGTAATTGTTTGGGTAACCTGGGTCCAGACTGTTGAGGCACTGATGATGCTTGTTATGGCAGAAAATCGTGTCCTCTTACATTTAATCTTTCATGTATGGTATTTTAATATTATTATTATTGTTATGTCTTACAGATATATATGCATTTTGTTTTTATCCTTAACCTTTCATCTATTATTCTCCTTATGTTAGTCTGTCCACATTTACTAGGGTTTAGGTCAGAGCTGTGAGATTGTTTTGGTGTTTCCCCCTCTTGTTGTTCCTCTCCTCTCCTGGAATATTCATTCAAGGCCGAGAGAGGATCTCTGTTCCCCAAAACATTGAAACCTAGACTGTGTAAATGATTATGCTGACGCCCGAAGCTGCCCTCGGCGGCAGGTCTCTGGACCAGCTGTCTCTGGTGTTTTAGTACTTCTCTGTTTATTCTCTTTTTGCTAATAAATTCTTCAAAGACAACGGTTGGTTGTAACTCAATTATATGTTTAATCCCTTACCAGGAACATCATTTCCTTGACAATGCCAACCATGGTTCAACAGAGGGTGGGAAGACATGACATTTTCAGTACAAATTTAAAAAACAACAACATAGAAGAAGTTAAGATTTATCACAACACAATATCTTGCTGTCTTTGTCACTTGTTTAAGTCATTGCCAGCCCAATGAAACCTGTTGGTAAATTAAAAATCCAAATCAAATCTGACGTCTTCAGTAGGAGCCAATGGGCTTGGAGCTGAGAGCCACAGGAAATCTAAAAAGACTAAGATGTTGTTTGTTTTGCTCTGTTCATGTTGAGAGTAATAAAAACAGAGTTTATAATGTAATCTAATAATTCCAGCCGTATTGTTTAAAGGGAACATCAGTACAAAAGTGTAAAATCCTTGACTGAGCTGATGGTGGGTTGTGAGGCAGCTGAGATGAGCTCCTTGGAGGTCCTACTCTGCTCCCTGAGCTCCTTCCTCTTCAGTCGACCCTCCTTCAGCTGCAGAAACACCCACGTTATAATATTCCAGCTCAATGTTCTCCTGCCTGCCCGGCTTCTGCCCCCTGCTGGCCTGGAGAGACATGACAGCACACATGAGAGTTAGTGCATCACTCCTCCTCTTCTTCAGGTCAGTAAACACAGACCGAGTGCTTCATCTCAGTCCTCTAAACAACAGACATGTGTCAGTACCTTATAGTAGAAACAAAGGGCAGCGATCACCAACAGCAGAGTCAGCGGCAGGACGACCACTTTGATGAGAAGACCTGTTGGATCTGATCAAACACATGGACAGTCATCACATCACACAACATCATGAGTCCATCAGCTCCTGTTAAACACAAACTGTAGTGACCTGAAGTCTCCCAAAACCACTTCAGTCCGTCAGTAATCAACAGATATCTGAACGCAGAATCTGGAGGGAAGAGACAAGGTTTTGGTATCGAAAGCATTCTGGTTTATAGTCCAGGTAGTATCGACCAATCATGTTTAAGCAGGCTTTGGCTTGGTGTCTGATTCTGGCCTGTGGGAAAGAAACTCGACTTGTTTCCCTTCCACACTAGGATGCAGGAACTCTGCATCTTGGAGTGGGAGTTAAACATGCCCAGGTTTTGCTCACTGACTCCTGTGAGCAGCTCCATGCTAACAACTCTGCAACAGAGCTTCAGGGTGTCGGTGGCTTCAAAAACCGACCCCTGCTTTTCCCACTGCAAAACCCAGAGACAAGATGGCTTCGGCTAGTGCTGGCTGTGGGGACACGGTGGAGGACCCTGATGCAGGTCTTACTGCTTAGTTTAGCTAGCTGCCTGTTCGGGAGGAGGAGGGCGGCGAAGACAGTGAGAATGATGTCAACATACAGCAGATCTCCTCGTTATTTAACCAATACAACAACACATGCACAGCATTTAGAAAAAATGTTGCAGAGTAAGAAAACAAAACAGGAACGCCGCAAGTAGCATAGAAGACAGCGGAAACTGTTTCCAGGGGAATCTAAAAAGTGACAAACACACCGGGCACGGCAGGAAAACGCCAGTTTGGACGGATCATCTTTTCCAAAGCTGCATGGAAACAGTCAGTGTGACGTTTCAGCTGCTCTGCTTCAGCTTACCTGAGACAGTGAGAGACAGCCGACGGCTCTCAGAGGAGAAGTCATGAGAAGAAACATGGAGGTGATAAACACAGCTGTAGCTTCCTTGGTGGGCGGGCTCTGCAGCAGGAAACAGGAAGTGGGCAGAGTGATTGACAGCTGGCTGGGTGTAGTTGTGTGATGTGATGGAGGAGGTGAAGGCGAGCTGGAAGGAGCCTCCTGGGTACTGTGGCTGGATGGAGCAGCTGATGGTGAAGGTGGAGCCCCTGGACACCTGAAACCCCTGCTGCTGGGCCTCGGAGACCCCGTTCACGGAGGAGGACACAGAGATGTTGGGCTGAAGCAGCAGGTCTGTAAACACAGATGATGAAAGGTCTCATTCACCCTCTGTTCATGACACAACTTTATTTTGAAAGGATGAAAATCGAATCCCTTTAGCGTTACAGACGATCAGCCAGTTTTCTAAGGCCTCAGGCTTACAGTTGAACGTAGATAAATGTGAAATGATAACCTTACATGATTATCCTCTGCAGTCACTACATAATATAAAAATTATTAAGCAGGTTAAATACTGGCCTGTCTCCCCATCCACCCTGAATTGTTATTTCCAAAGGGAAAAGAACAATTGGCTATATGAATATGTGGAATCAGACAAATGTAAGTCAATTCTAAATAGGTGGCTGCAGAGCGACGTCACAATCTTAGGAAGGGTTCTACTCTCTACAACGGATAGTTTGTCCAGACTCATTTACCCGGCTTTCTCCTTACCCATATCAGTGAGTATGATCAAAGCAGTGAATACAATCAATTTTAACTTCATGTGGAGAAATAAATTCCGTTATATAAGGAAGACTGACATGGTTAAAACTATGAAGATGGCGGTATGAATGGGACTGATTTTGATATCACATGTTTTGTTATTGTGAGTTTGTGCAGTCCTTCTGGTGTGATATGTGGAGCTGGCTACAGTCCAAGGAGATGGTGTCGTCACCACTGACAGTAGAGTCAGTAAACAAAATGGCCCCTGAAAAAGGAAGTGATGTCACAGGTCTGACACGGGTAACAAACATGGAGCAGAGCGATGACAGACTGTAAAAGGAGGGACTGGATCCACCTGGTGGGACGTCCCCAAACACAGAGACAGACAGACAGACAGGTTCCTCCAGGTGTGTCCTGTCAGGTGAAGCTTCCAGAAACAAGCCCACCTCTCTACACTTTAGGACGTCACTGTCCTGGAGAACTTTACAGTTCAGTCCAATGGAAACCACTGAGACACTGAGACAGAGGAGAGGACACACTGGAGACATTACTGTCATACATGATGTCATAGATGATGTCACTGATGGGCTTACCTGAGCAGGTGAGATTCAGGATGGAGAGAGAGGAATATGATGATGCACACTCCCTCAGAGCAGATCCAGACTGAACACAGTCAGACCAGATCCTCCACACAGGTCTGTCTGAGGACTCCTCTCTCTGTCCTACAGAAACAGCAGAGCCACAGTCCAGCTCTCTACAGGCAACAGGTGCTTCCTTCAGGGTCCAGAAAAAGTCACTCATTGGTCTCCAGTTTCCCTGATGTTTCACCTCCAGTGTTCCTGCACAGCGACTGGCTCCTCCCACCAACCTGACAGGCTCTGAACAGAAACCAGAGAGTCATCAGTAAAACAATAAAGTGAGTTTCATCAGAAGAGAAATGAAGCAAATCAAAGCTGCAGCTCCTCTTCTACCTGAGCAGGTGAGTCCAACAGCTTTTCCAGGTGAGCAGGTGTTTCTAGCTGAGCCTGAGCTTCTACAGTCCAGGAGAGCAGACTCATGGCCTCCACACTGGAACTCTTTGGTCCACATCGGAGCCTCCACTTCTCCATAGAGCGCCCCCTGGAGGACTGAAGGAGCCCCACAGCCGAGCTCCCTACAGACCACCTCTGCATCCTGCTGGTCAAAGTCAGCTTCACACACTGAGGACCACCTCTGGTTAGACTGGTTAGACTGGTTAGACTTCACCTCCAGTCTGCCTGAGCACAGACTAGTCCCGTCCAGCAGCCTGACAGAGTCTGGAGAGATAATAGAAGATGAAACAGAGATAAAGACACCAGACACAAAATAAAAACATGTCATGAAACAACAGTTCAGAGATTCAAACTGGACTCAGCACAACTCCAACATCAGTTCATCATTAACAACAGAACACGTCTTTCTAACAGCACAGACATTTACATTTAATACTCTGTCACACTTGTTCTCCACGTCTGAACACTTTCAACATGTTTCCAAACAGCAGCACAACATCATCATCTGCAAGATCACTTTAAAATATAACTTTTGCTGCCTGTGCCTTTTATTATGGACATGTAGCCAACCAAACCGCTTGCTTTGCAGTAGCACAGGCTGCCAAAACAATCTGATTATTCCTGAAGCATCTAAACAATCTTCACAACACAGATAATTATTGTGGCAGTAACACGAGAGCAGCTGGTTGTTGAAGCAGGTAAACTACATACAGAGGAAGCTGTGCGTCGTGCGTAAAGCCCAACAGGACTGTTTTATTATCTCTCTCTGTGCGTCTGAAAAATAAATAACAGCTGGTAGCTGCTGAGTGAAAGTCAGTTTCACCGGCGACTTTCTGTTGATGGACTCACCGTCGGACATCGCGATGAAACAAATAGTAACCGATGTGTATTAAAGAAAAGAAACAGGCTAATGTCCAAAGCGATGCTCTGTTCAACAACAGGACACTTTTAATATATCAGAATCAATGCAGTGATCGTCTGACAAAGATCTTACAGTGTGTAGTCTTCATTTGCTCTGCAGAGACTAAAGACGCTTTTAATAGAAAGTGAAAGTGTTTCACTTGCCGGCTTGTTAAAGAGCGACGCAGGCTGCTTTCCAACAGACCAGCAGGTCCACGGTGTGGCTCACTACATTTCAGTTGTATTAGTAGAACATAAAAAGATATTTGGCTGATTTTCTAAAGGTTTGCATCCGCCCAGCTCTGTGACCGTGACAAGCGCCCGACCAGCGCTTTACTGCGTGACTGCACACACACAGCCTGGAGGAGCTCATTTCTGTTAATGAAGCAAAATGCAGATTACAGACTGGAGAAGTTATAAAAGGTGTGAATGGAAGATGTAGTGAAATTAAGAGTAGGCCTACATTAGATGTACCCACCCCTGCTGCAGACATCATCACTGCTGCCTTCAGCTAGAAGGAACAGCAGCACAAAGAAAAGTCTGTAATACTGAGGAACTTTGCTGCTCCGGCCTCCAGCAACTTGGTTTTTCCTCCCTCAACATTTCTACAGGCTACATTCTGTCCGCGACTGATGTGGACTGTGAGTGATTGACTGGTCTCTTAGTAAACCGCCTCCTATATGAGCCAGCTCCAAAACCGCCTGAGGCAGGAGGGCAATGCAAATAAAACTTTACATTAGGAAAGAGGGGGGGGGAAACGTAGATTTTGAAATGAGCGCGTAACGCTAGTTAAGCGAGTAAAGTTCAATTGTCGTCTTTTGTTTGATTTAAAAAATAATAATAAATTCTTCTGAGATCGGGGGCTTTTCAAAAAACATCCGGGCTAACGACGCCGCTGGTGGAGAGTATAGTTAGGCCTACTAGAGAGGAGCTGGTGCAGAGCGGAGCGGGTCGTGGAGCGGTTAGGGTCAGACAGCAGTGTGGAGCTGTAGGCTCGTGTTTACTCCCTCAGAGGAGGGAGGGTGTTAAAGTGTTTCCCTAATTTAAGTGTTCACTCTCGTGTTTTCAGTATTATTTCATTGTTAAAAAAACTTTTATTTTGGTTGCACAGAATCTGTGGAGTATAAATGATCTCTATTAGTATAATATTCTAACTGTAGGAGCCATTTATGTTTATTGTTGGCGTGATATTTTATTTTTCTTTGGATATATTTATATTAGTATTTTGGACACTGGGTGGCAGTGATTAGATGCACGTGGTTGTATATAGAGGGCATAGGTGACAGGAAGTGGTAGGCACAGGTAGGGGGAGCACAAACAGTTCTGGCCAGACCACAGAGTCAGAATACACGCAAACAACTGGAAACAAGATAAGAAATCAACCGCTATGTTCATCTGTTTGTACTATTTACTGCTGCAATAAACCACTAACCTCATCTGCAATAATCTCTCTGGAAAATCATCTTGTGTGTCTGCTTAAAAACTTCCCTCCTACCTGTGCATGATGGCAAAGAGACTGGAAACAAAGCTAAAGGTAAAGCAAGGAAAAATTGCTATCATACTAACATTAAATTAAAACTGATTTCATAGCCAGGCCTACTGTTAGCAGTGTTGGGCAGGAACTGTAATAATGTTACTTTCTCATTTTACATTTACTCTTTTTCCCACTAACTAGTAGTGTAACAGATAACTATTTACAAAACAGTAACATTATTACAGTTACTAATCCAAGTAACGCTGCAGTACTGACTTACTGAACGCATCATCCTTGGCATAAATACGCGACTGGGCGGCAGGTCAGCTGCACTGGACCTGATGTTATTCAAGTCAGCTGTTAGCCAACAAGCTAAAGTAAAGTAGAAGGAAGAATGGAGAACGAGGGAGAGAGACGTTCTTTCAACAACTGTAATTATTGCCATAATTACAATTATTGCCATTTTGTTTTGGCGACCAGTCTAAAAACAGTGGAGGATCTAGTATGTAGTAGAACATTATTACATCAAATAAGAAGTGTAATGTTCATTTAATAGTACTGTTTAGTTGTAGTATATTGATTACTGTATTCATTATAGTTTCATATAATATACTTTTTACAGTTTTTTTAACGACGCTGAAGTTAGCTTCCAATTCGCAGCTTCCGATTCTGCAGTTAAGGGGAAGTTAAGGAGAACTTAAGTGAAAGTTAACGTTGCTGAGCGACCAAATCTCCGTTTTTTGCACCTCTTACTGCTGTGAAAGCTGTTGTGCATTTTAGGCAAAGCCTTAACGCTGTCTGAAACACTTTTTTAGATTTGAAATAAATTTATTTTATTTGTGTAAATGACAAAAGGGTGATTTCACTGCTTTTTCTCCACATGCAGACCACATTAGACCAGGTCCAGATCCAAAACCACTATACCTAGAGCTCTCAAATCTGGACTAGATTGTCCAAAGAGGCTAAAGTTTCAATCAAACATAGTTTCAGATTTGTGAAACCTTTATTCAATTTGTGAAAATACTTTAAAGGACGATTTATCTGCTGTTTTCACATGTAGACCACATTAGACCAGGTCCAGATGAATGGTGGATTGTTTCTCATGTCTGAATTTGCAGCGCCACCATCTGCCTCTCAAGCTGTCTTTGAAAATGGTTAACAGTTTAATTTTTGTGGAATGTTTCCATTTATAAAATCCATGTGCAAGAAACACAGTCTACATTGGTCTCTAATTTATTAATGCAGTAAATACTTGTCAATAATCAGAACCATTCATGCAGAACAATTATGGTAGTTTATAGTCTTTACTCGTAAATCATTTTTCCTCTTTGCATGAATCTATTTTTATGGATAAATGCGAGTGAAATACTCTGTAGAGCCCTGCATCATCCATCCTGGCAACTGCTCCCCTCGTGCTGCTGTTCTTCTTGTTTTATTGGCGGGTGCCGTTGACTTCCTGTCTCTGTTACAGCTGATGTTCTAACGTTACATACTGCAACTGGCTTTACCGGAGGGGAACGTAGCAAACATTTCAAATACGCCCAGCGGCATTTTTAGAAAGGTTAAAATTACAGCAGAATAAAGGGAGGGTTGACAGGTGTGTTCATGCTGCTACCAGGGATGTACTGATGCTGAAATTCAGCCCTGGACTCTGAGATGGAGCGGACTTTTCTGTCAGTTTGCAGTTATTTTAATACTAATAGCCAGTGAGTCACACTAAGCAGGGAAATGTCTTGATATTGTTGCTGCTGGTCCAGGACAGCGTTGTTGCAAGCATGTGGTGTAAATCCTGCATGATGGAGGACGTGTACAGGTGTTGATATTGTTCTTCAGGCTGTGATCATAGGCTGTAACCTGTCAGCATAAATCCTGTATAAGCTAAAGATGTTTCCAACAAATAATACCCTGGAATTCAAAACCTTAATTGTAAGCATGTGTGTGTGGGGGGGCCTACAAGACAAATTGTCCAGGGGCCTTTGACTTCTTAATCCGGACCTGACCTCGGTACATTACTGTCATAGATGATGTCACTGATTGGCTTACCTGAACAGGTGAGATCCAGGATGGAGGTAGAGGAAACTGATTCTGCACACTCCCTCAGAGCAGATCCAGACTGAACACAGTCAGACCTGATCCACCACACAGGTCTGAATAAGGACTCCTCTCTCTGTCCTACAGAAACAGCAGAGCCACAGTCCAGCTCTCTACAGACAAGAGCTGCTGTCTTCAGGGTCCAGACAGAGCCACTCACTGGTCTCCAGTCTCCCTGATGTTTCAGCTCCAGTGTTCCTGCACAGCGACTGGCTCCTCCCACCAACCTGACAGGCTCTGAACAGAAACCAGAGAGTCATCAGTAAAGAAGCGAATTCTAGAGACTAAACTGATTCTGCTTCTGTGATTCTTTCTTTCTCTTTTCTTTCTCTCTTTACCTGTTGAGGTGTGTCGTCCTTCAGCCTGGAGTCCTGTGATTGGAGCACAGCCGTGGACAGAAAGAACAATCAGGTTGTTTTGTAAAGAACTTTCTATCAGCTCAGAAACATCTCAGTGAACTCCCTCTGGACTCATTTTACCAGTTTACTGTAGGTGAGATCAGTGGTGGAAAGTAACAAAGTACAAATACTTACTGTACTTAAGTAGTTTGTTTTCGGTATCTGTACTTTACTTGAGTATTTTTAGTTGTTGCAACTTTTTACTTTCACTTCACTACATTTCAAAACCAAATGTCACATATTACATTCTGCACCAGACCTCGTTACATTGGTATTAGTCGCCTGTGCAGCACCTGAGTGGAGCAGCACTGAAAAACAAAACTGATAAAGCCGACTCAGCGCGAATCAACTTCAGCCAGCTGATGCGACACGACATACGCAGTGACAGTCCAGCACAGAGCTGGACGGCCCCGCCTCACTTTCCTGTCAAAGGTGAACGTGAATGTTTGATGAGAGGATGAAGAGGGACTGTCCTTCTAGGCACGAGGAGAGAAAAAACTAAATGACACTCAGCCTAATGTGCAGCTGCAGTGAATCTGTCTGTCTGTCTGTCCTGCTAAGCAGCTGAGCAGCGCTGGTTTAAATTAAACTCACGCATTCAGCAAGAAACATCTGTGGACCAGTCCAGACAGGATGTGAGGGCACTCCTCATACATCATTTAAAAACAAGACAGTGAAGTTTAGTTACAACTCTGGACTGATGCATGATGGGAAGCAGTGGATTCACACTGACTATTAAAATGTTGATTAGCTGGACAGACTGGGCAATATGGATGCACATGTCAGTAAATAATAAGCAGCACATATTCAGCCCAGTCATTTTATAAATATTATATATCTGAAAAGCCAGTTTGAATGGGCCTGATGCAGCTGATAATATTAATATATAGAAAATATCTAGAATTTACAGGGGCTGTGGTGCCGTTTGTCAGATTAGATGCTGGATCATCAGCCAGTACGAGCACAGCCAGAGATGTGCAGCCAGCATCAGATACAAGCAGCTCAGACTCTAATGGAACAGTTGCTGCTCCACCAAATGAGCCAGCAGATTGGCCCCCAGTCTTATCTGACTTCATGAGGTCTGAGTTAGAGCGCAGAGGTCTGTTCAAACCAGCACTGGACTTTTCTAGAAGAGCTTTCTATTCAGGCTTCTTACAGAGGGAGGATTGTAGTGAGAGCATTGCTGTGTCAGGTGCAGTGTTGGGGTAGTTACTCAGAAAAGGTCATGGATTACACATTACTAGTTACTTACTTTACTAGATTACTCACTGCAGAAACTAACTAGTTACACTACTAGTTACATTACTTTTGGATTACTGCGTAACATCACCTGTGATGCACAATAACAATATAAAGTTCCACCTCATATCTGCTCAGATCAACACAAATCCTTATTATGATGAGGACAAACACAGGATCTCTCTTTTCTGCTCTTTAATACAAAGTGACAACACAGTTGTGAACATCAGCCCAACATTTGTCAAGAGAAGAACAAGGCTAGAGTACAGTGCTATAATGCTTAGAACTTTATTTGGACATTTCATTGGAAACATTTATATTTTAGATAATGAAGACTGTGATTCTTACTGCTGACTCATTAACAGCTGAAGCATGTAGGCCTGAGCGACTGTGACAGAATCATGTTTGTCTTATTACAATAATAATAATTAGGCTATTATTATTATCAGATGGAGCCTTTTTGCTACAATTAAGCTTGACACAACGGCTGCGGCTGTGTTTGCGACCTTTCTTTTCTCCGTGAGAGGGAAGAATTTAGAAAGGAGCCCCTGGCTCCCCCGTAGTTCGCTCCCTGGGCAGGAGTCTCTCAAATCGTTTGTCAGACAACCTGTTCCTCCTCGGAGTCAGCACGAGACTGCCCAGGCTAAAGAGCCTCGCCACAGGCGCACCAGAGGGTATCGCTGTGCTTTCACCAACAATATGAAGTAATACCTCCACCCCTCCAAAGACTTCTTTGGCAGCTCTGCAATTTCTGCGTCCTCGTGAGCTGCTGCTGAAGTCAAAAGAGAGGTCGGAAACATTCATGAAAAGGGGCGTTTGATTTATTTTTCTCTCCTCCCGTTATGCAGATAGTTCAAGAACCAGTTCACAAGTGACGAGATGATTTTGAGATGTGATTACTGAAGTTATCAACAGTGATGCGTTCCAGACAGAAGTAATGTGATTACAGTGACGTGTTACCCCCAACACTGGTCAGGTGTGACTGTGCAGCAGCTCTGTGTTTGCACTGTGAGCGAGTGGAAACGTAGCTGCTAGAGTTTTGGAATATAAACATGTGAAAACTGAAGCCAGCCTGCTCTGTGTGGGACTGTGAGCTGCACTTTAGGAGAGGTGCTGAAGTTAACATGTGTGGCTTTTTGGTGAGATTGTGAATTGACAAGTGTTTCAGGTAGTTTTGGTTTCCTGTCGTCTCATCTTAACATCCCCAAAGTCCCAAACGGGGTTCTGTGTCTGTCAGACGGTCTGAAGGAGATACTACCACACCAGCAGAGCAACAACGCAGCTACAGACCACACTGCAGGAAATATCTACTTGTTGTGATTCACTCTAACTTATAATGCTGTATTCAAACCTGCCTTGAGGTTTTAAAAAGATGGATTATGTTTTGTAAGATCAATAGATTTTGATGTGTAGTACTTTTACTTTTAATTAAGTCTTTTTAAAACCAGCTACTTTTTTACTTGAGTAACATTTCTCATGTGGTATCTGTACTTGTGCTGGGCACGTTAACGCATTATTAACGCTGACAATTATTTTATTGCACGTTTAAGCAGTTTTAAGTTTTAAAATAAATAAATCCATTGTAAATTAACATGTTTATTTTACCACTACAGACTTCATGGAGATACAATACAGAAAAAATTTGATATTTTTATCCTGGCCTCTTAAAAAAAGCTACAATTTAATGCAATAAACCATCAAAACCATCATCAGATAGATTATAATGCAACTGAATATCTTCTAATACAGAATACAACTGTAACTTTAAATTTGATGAAAATAAACTAAAATACAACAGTTATCATACAATATTTTCAAAATAAACCAGGTGAATGTCCATATTTTGGCAATATTTACTGTTTAAATGTTGACTTTTATTGGGAGTTATCTTTAAAACACTATTTCTGTCCATACAACCACGTTCCAAATAACATAACATTGAAATATTGATAAAAACAGTGAATATTCATCAACATTGCTGTCACCAAAAGCACTCCATGCTTTACAGGCCTGTAGCTTGAGAACGGCTTGAGCAGACCTTTCATTTGATACCCTGGATGTCTATGTAGCTCCTACGGGTCGGCCACTAGACCACGAAAAAGACCGTGTGTTCCAAAGCGGCAGAAAAAGGCGCAGCGCCCAGGTGTTACACCATAATCAAGATGGCGCCCGGTGACGTTTCTAGCAACAAATCAGCTGATATTTGGACTGAAAATGGTGAACACAGCCAAAGTAAGTCAGCGGTGTTGATGATAGCGTGCTGCCCCTGGAACCGAAAATAAGTGAAATATTTCACTTAAAATGTGATGAATCTAAAATATATAAAAGTTTCACGTTTTGACTTAAATTACAGACAGAAATGAACTTTCTCAGCATATTCTACCTTTCTGAGATGCTCCTGTAAGACTACTTCATTTGATGTTCTTTTTTATTGCTTTGTTTTAACTTGTGCACTATTTATGCCTGATATTCTCTTTTTCTAATTTGTTCTTCTGTACATTCTGTTTGAGCATCGTGGGAGGAGCCTGGGAACAGAATTGATTTGCCACTCTTCAGGACCATGGGGACAGAGCCGACCTTCTACGCCTCCTGACTCAAATCTGTTTGATCCCCGACCTCTGCTCTGAACATTGATCAGGTAAATGTTTTCTAACTTCATCTCATCTGAGTCGTGCTTTTGAGTCTTCATATCTGGGTCCAGAGACCAGCTGACCTATTAGGAACCTCTTATCAGGAGACAGTGGTTCAGCGATCGTGAGAAATAAGGGGGGTATCAACATGAAATGGAAGAAGTCAGATAATGAGTGTGTGCACGTCTTCATTCATGTGGGCAGTATCTGATAAAGCAGCTGAGTGGAGGAAATACTGATAAATTCTTTCCAGTTGCGTGTTTCGGAAGTTTATGTCACATATAACTCGTCACAGCGGACAGTTAGAGCTCACTGGGTTTTCTTAATGACCAAAAAATACCACAGAGCTTCCTGCTGCTCTCACATCCAGTTTGTTTCACCACCGTCACACAGAAATCAGGCTGCAGCACAAACACAAATGTTTTTCATGAGCATAGGTTTAGCTTCAACACTGGAGGGGAATTTTTCTGCACCAGTTTCTGGCTTCTTTTCTGCATCTATTGATGGTGAAAATGTCATTTATTTAAACCCAAACACCAAAAACCTGAATGTAAATAACTGCCACATTGTTTTTTCTGTTATTCTTTTATAGCTGGATCCAGCGGTCGCGTTATGCTGATTGTTTAAAGCTGGCTGTCACGAGCTACAGCTACGTATTTTATAGATATAAGCAGAACATCAAAAGAAGGATAAATGCCCAGGAGGTTCTGGCAAAGACACGAGTGAGGGAGAAGCTGATGGGGGAGAGATAACTACTACTACATGTTCTTCTTCACTCAGCCTAATACAATGATTTAAATGTGTTCATTATGTTGTTGTTAGTTTGTTGTAGCCTACAGTTTAGGCTACTGATTCATTTAAAATGTAGGCTATTTGACTTTCTTTGATCTGTAATGAAATGAAGCAGTAACCCAGAACTGCCACACTGCTGCTCTCATCACTCAGTTAAAGTGCTCTCACACAGCTCAGGGCTTCATTTTGTTTTCCCTTTGACGTGAACTTAACATTCGAACCTCAAAATTAAAAATCGAACGTACCAAACGATCGAATATTTGAATATTGGGGTCCAGCCCTACTGAACACCTGACACTTCATCAGCATGATACAAAACCTGCATGAGATTGGAAATGTGTTTTCTTCTGACTGGAACATTAAAATGAGCGCACTAGTGTCAGAAGGTATTTGATATACCTGAAACCTGGATAAAGTACATGTTGCTGCTAATACTGCAGTCCTTGATATTAGTGCATGCAGCCACGTTACTTCTGAATTACAGGTACAACTTTACTTATTCCCAATAAAAGTGGCCACGATTATTTTAGTAATATAGAGAAATGATTAAATATTGATAACATTAAAGTTCAATAATCCATTTGTTAAAGAAACTCTCCTCAGCTGAAAGAGTGGGGACAGACAGACTGAACTCTAAACTGGACTAGAAAACATGACAAAGTACAGTGGGCTAAGGAGAGAGGGAGAGATGACACGGTGAGCGTTTGTGTAATCTAGTGAGACTTGGTGCAATTCAAACATGGCAGCGCGCAGCTAAACAAACAATCCGCCAATTTTAAGCGAATTAACAAATAAGAGCAGTCAAATTGCACTGGAGGACCTCGAGGACGAGTGTTTGGAGGACCTTGAAGTTTACATTGACCAGTGTTTTCAATGAGTGGTCATGGGGAAATCAAAAAGAAACCGCACTGAAGACTCACCTGGAGCATCACCTGGAGCAGTCTCCTCACAAGGTGCAGATTTCACAGAGATCCTGGATTCAATAAACAAGAAATTGTCTAGCTTTGATGCCCGATTATCTCTGGTGGAAGTACTTCACAAAGAGTTTCAGGCTCTGCGGGAATCCCTGGAGTCAGAAACAGGTGGTTGAGCTCGCGGCGGAAAACAAGGTCCTCAAAGGTTCGGTTAAATCCCTCACGGAGGGAATGACGCGGCTCTCGGCAGACAATAAAAACATTAGAGAAGCGATCATCGATCTCCAGGCTCGTAGTATGCGGGATAATCTGGTCATTTCGGGTATCCCGGAGCAGGCGGATGAAGCCCCAGAGGAGACCGTTAAAAGCTTTATCCAAAATCAACTGAAGCTCCCGGCCGAGACCTTGAAGAACATCAGCTTCCACCGGGTGCACCGCCTGGGAGGACGGCGACAGGAGAACCAGAGGCCCAGGCCCATGGTCGCGAAGTTTGAACACTTCAAGCAGAAGGAAGTGGTTAAAGGCCGCGGCAGGGAGCTGAGAGGGACCAACTTCAGCGTTAACGACCAGTTTCCCCTGGAGATCCTGGACCGACGCCGAGTCCTGTTCCCGATAAGAAAGAAGCTTATTGGAGAAGGATCAAGGGCTGTCATCGCGGTGGATAAACTTTACGTTGATGGCCAGCTGTACCGCGACCGAGACACCACTCCTTGGCTCTACTAAGAACCAAGTCCAGCAACCCTGGTAGAATTATTCCTGATGCCTTTCTTTCAGTTACTTATTTAAATTAATTATTATTCCAGCTCTCGTGGCTGTGTTGTGTTGCTTATTTAGTGTGTGTGACTGTTTCTTGTTTTCATTGTTCTCTTAGTTGTCTTACTATGTCAGCTGTTTATTGCTGCTGTTCGGCTGGTTGTCTTTTACTATTATTATTATTTTTATTGTTTTTTTGTTTGTGTTTGTTTGTTGTTGTTGTTTTTCTCCTCCCCAAGCCCCCCTCTCTGTTCTTGCAGGTTTCGTTGCTTTCTGCAATTGTTGTTTCCCACAGCTTTTCCCTGTTGTCCCCACCTTCCATCCCCCTTCTCTTACAGGTGTTGTCCTTTCTCTGTGCTGTGTGTTTGTGCCCCCCCATCCCCGTGTCTGCCCCCCTGTCCGGCCCGGTGACAAATCAATACATAATTAAATAAATAATAAAACAGACAAAGGAGTATTTTAATACTCTCTTGTTAAAGTAAAATCTGTCTGGCACAATATGGTATCCAGGTCATTATACTCTATACCAGGCTGCTGGGCAGGACAGGTTTTTAAAAAAACAAAAAAAAACTGGACTGGTAACCAGTGAAGTGATGGTGAAACAGCTGTGATGTGCGCTCTTTTGTTCATGTGAGTTAGAAGCCTTGCAGCAGAGTTCTGAACAGCCTTAAGAGACGGTGAAGCTCCTTCTTATTCAAACAAGTGAAAAGACAGTTACAGTGATCTAAAGGAGACCAAATAAAAGCATGAATGATCCTCTCAAATTCAACCTCTGACACCAGAGCTCTTAGTTTGGATGTACAGTGTTTCTCAGTTGGAAGAAGCAGTTTCTAATTAGAGAGTCCAAAAAACTCTTTTTGTGAGCAGTTTGTTCTGTGAGAGGCCGTTTAGGGGGAAAATACTGAAAATGTTCACACCTCATAAACTGGGTCAGATAAGGTCTTAGTGCCTTAAATGTAGCTGTACGTCAGCTCTTTGACAGGAAGAAACATTTTTAATCAGTGAGTTTATCATCAGCAACAATCTTATATCCTGTTTTTAGCTGAGCTTGGTGTGTCAACAACTGCCAGCCTAAAGCCAGGATAATGTCAGGTGGCAGGTTTGTTGAGTGAAGCTAGCGAGCATCAGAAAGGACGGGGAGCTGCCATTTAGTTTCCTGTTCTTTTGAATATGTGGCTCTTCAGCTGAATTCCTCTCCTCCAGCTAGATCTCTAAATATCTCCAGGCCACCTAAATACTGTGCAGGTCTTTCAGAGTTTTCACCCTGAACAGCCTTTCATACTGGTTTTCTCCCTGATCCAGTAAAGAGATCTGAATTCTAACACGTGCTGTTTAAAGTCCTACCTGAGCTCCACAGCAGCAGCAGCAGCAGCAGCAACAGGTGATCCATGTCCAGGTAGACCGTCTCTCTGGCCGTCCGCCTGCTCTCTGCTCTGATCATCACGTGCTGTCCTCAGTGTAGATCTGTGTACAGGAAGAGGTGGAGCTTTACTGGAACACAGCTCATTCAGCTGGCTTTAGTTTCACAGGGAGGAGAGTCCTCGTCTGACTGAGTCTCTGTCACAGGAGACAGTGAGACCAGACCAGAACACCAGGGCAGACCAGAACACAGACAGTGAGACCAGACCAGAACACCAGGGCAGACCAGAACACAGACAGTGAGACCAGACCAGAACACCAGGGCAGACCAGAACACAGACAGTGAGACCAGAACACAACACCAGGGCAGACCACCCGCCTTGGCTCCTCCCATAAATGACTATGCATATGAGCATAAACACGCCAGCGTCACCTGCTGAGGTCCAAATGACAACAGGTGAAAATAAGGAAACTTCACTGAGTGTGAGATCGAGGTGCTGATCACTGAAGTGGAGGAGAGGAGAAATGTTTCATTTGATGGTTTGAACTCTTTGATCAGCAACAAACGCAAAACGACGGAGTGGCGTTAGTGTTACAATAAGAGTCAGTGCAGCTCAGAGACTCATACTGGCTGAAATAAAGAAAACACGGTCTGACATAAAGTGGAGGTCAAAGAAGAGGAAGAGAGTTTTTCTGATTCAGCAATCGAGGCGCTTGTGAGGTGGAAGTTAGAAAGTAGCCTACAGATTGTTTGATGCAGCTGGTTCAGAAACAAAAGAAAATCCAGAGTTTTATATATTATTCTAAACAAAGAGTGTAGGTAGAAAGGTAAACATTATATATTGTTGATCCCATCAGACACACACCTGTCGGCTCCCGCTGCCAACAGCTGGCTGCCACAAACACTATTTGTATTTGTACGGGATGGCACGGTTCCGCCAGGTTGGTCTCTCTAATGCTGGACGCAGTTCAGCACACAGGTCCAAGAGCACGACTCTTGGGGATCTAAATCGAAGTATTAGCCAGTCATCATCACGGGCCAGGAAGTCTTCACGGACACTCTCTAATCCTTCCACTGGCGTTTTCCTCTGCAGAGCCAGAGCAGCCGTGCAGCACTACGCACGAGTGTCACGCAGTGTTTACAGCGGTCATACGGACTATGCTTCACACCTCACCAGAATGGTGGCTTCAGTCAGCGGTGAGAATGCAGATCTGCGTCTCAGTGCGCTCTGTGCGCCTGACAGTCTGTTCACTGCAGCGTGTTTACACACCAAAGCTAAATATGCACAGAGGATGTTATTAGAAACTACTGACGCTCTCTGCTGCAACTCTTTAATGCTGTTTGATGTTATCTCAGATTTTTATGATGATGACAATTCCATCAGTTAGCCGAGTCTGAAGAGGACTCAGGTGCTAAATTCACGTCTAACATCGGGGAAAGGCAGCCGGGATCCTGCCGCCTGACATCATCCTGGCTTTAGGCTGGCAGGTCCATAACTGACCATGAGTGTCCGTGACCACACTCAGGTCCTCTCTGCTGCGCTCCGGGGGCTGATGGAATATTTAGCGGACACTGATTTAAGATTCACCACTAATTTGGCTTATTTTATTTCTTTTACACTTGAAAGGTGCAGTATGGAATAGTTCTGGCTCACTAGCAGCAGCACAAATAACACCGCTGGTTTGAATGTTTAGATGATAAAGTGATAACATGTGATATGAAGTGCAGTTAAATATGTCAGAGACGTCATGATCTATTCCTCTCACGTTCAATTTTATTTGATATTAAACCACTACAGACATGATCAGACTTTTGTTGTGTATTATTGTGACAGAATTAGGTTTTTGATTGACATCTGCACAGTAACTGCAGTGGAAACACTATTTTGAAACATTTGGTGAGTTTTGGCACTTTGGAGTTCACTGACAGAGCCAGACAAAAGTTGGTGGAGGGTCCGCACATTCTCACGTTCATCCCACGTGTGCGTGAAAAGCGTACGTAACCTTTTTGTGCGTAGGAAGCGTTTATACATGAGGCCCCAGAAGTCCAGGTCAGAGCAGAAGTTTTGAGGCGAGAAATCAAATATGTAGATGGAAGGAATCTAAGGAGGCGGCCTGCCGATCACGCTCACAGAGGTCCTACGGTAAGACAGCTGCAGCCTGTCTGTTATTCTGTCATTACATTTTGAGTTATTTAAATCAAATCAAGACATCTGGGTCGTGATGTAAAGAACATTCTTGGCTTGTGAAACTATAAAAAATAAATCTGTCGTTACTTTATTTTATTATTATTCTATCAGACATTACATTGTTAGTGAACAGTTGTGGTTACAGTTCTTGCTTTCTATTGCTTTTATTTGATAGAATTCTTATTTATGCACCAATAGACCAAAGCAAATTACTTGGAAGTTAAAAATTGTTAATAAACCAGATTCTGATCTTTTTAGTTTGGGTGATAAAGCCTGGCTGTTTTTGGAGCTCTGCTCCCTCTGTGCTGGGGGGATTGTGCAATATTGTGATAGTCATTTCCTGTTAGAGCCCAACCGCAGTCTTTGATCTGAGACAACACTAACCTGTCAAAAATAATGCACTAAGCAAGTAAGTACACAGTGTACGCAGTGTACTGCATGTTAGTGTACTCAGACCAGAACACGTCCAATGATGTGTTGCAGTAATTCAGTCTGGAGGAGACAAAGGCCTGGACCAGCTTTTCAGCTGTACAATGATGATTACTGTGATTATTGATTATTGGTTACTGTGTTATTTTCACAATAACTCTTTCATTACTGTAATTATCCGTTATATACACAATGTGTTACTGTGTATTAGTATTTTATTAAACCCCAAACAGAAAATCCTCCCCCACAACCAGTGTTGGGAAAGTTACTCAGAAATTGTACATAATATATTACTCCTTCAAAAAGTAATATTATTACTTTACTTCTTACTGGGTGATAAAAGAGGTGGAGGGGTAAAAACAAATTTCAAAATCAATGTGTGGTCAGCATTAATTATTAATATAATTATCCAAATAGGCTAATTATGGGATACCAAGTTGCTCAGGTGCAAGTCCAGTCAGACATTTAAAAATGTCTAAGATTAACAAAATTAACAAAGTTTAAGATTTTATGTTTACTTAGAATGTAACAGTGATGGAATCGAATGGGCTTTTTATCAAAAAAATTTTAAGGCACAGTTATAAAGCCTCTCAATAGACTTTAGGGTAGTTTGGCTGGTCTGGGACCAAACAGTGGTGCAGTACAACAGGTGGGACAGGATCATAGTGTTCAGAAAGACAGAGCACATTCAAATGTCAGACAGCTTCTGATCATTCTGAAACAGTTCATACTGGCCTTCATTTTTCTTGAGATGTTTGTGATATGACTTTTAAAGTTTAGCTGAGAATCTAAAATCACTCCATTATTGTCAAGTATTTTTCTTGTTCTACCTGATCAATGAGTTCGCCATTCATTTAGGCTCCAGTAGTCCGCCAGGCCATCTGTGGGCGCAGTACAAGCTGCAGCCTGGTCGACGAGGGCACACGGAGCAAATCCCTCTGGGTCATCCGGTGCCGGCGTCCGAACACTCGTTCGCACAGAGCGCCCACAGCTGTTTCTCGCTGGAAATCCGCCAACCATCACCTGGTCCGTCGGCTGCTGCAGATGATGCACCAGCTCTGCCACGGAGGCTCCTGCCTGCTCACCAATCCAGCCCGCTGTTCTCCGCTCCGCTGTCGCACCGGGACCCGGCCACACCACGGTAGGATGGACCTACGATGTACATACATTTACATTTACATTTATTCATTTAGCTGACGCTTTTATCCAAAGCGACTTACAATTGCTATACATCTCAGAGGTCGCACACCTTTGGAGCAACTAGGGGTTAAGTGTCTTGCTCAGGGACACAATGGTGGATGTCTCACAGTGGGAATTGAACCCAGGTCTCCCACACCAAAGGCAAGCATCTTATCTATGCTACGCCACCACCCCTTACGTACAGTTAAAACGTACAGTCAGTGTTTGGGCCGTGATTAAGCTGGATGTCTCCCGCTAACAGGACCAGGAAGGAGAGATATAGCGCGCCCACTATCTTTTTTCCTGCTACCCAGCTCCAATTTTGTGCGTAATAAACCTACTACGCGTGCGTTTCCAAACTTCAGGAGTGAATAGCAGATGGTAAAATGGCCATATCCAACGTTGTTCAAGTATGGCGTGTGACACAGAAGACTGTCAGGCTCGTTTTGTGGAATCCCTTGGAGTACTCCAAATGTTAGCAGCAAAAGAAGCCACACCAAACAGATGAGTAGCAGGACTGCATGCTGACGTTGTTTGTTTGCTCCACGCCGGCATTTCACTTGTTGATGTTGTTTGTCCTTCTTACTTGCAGCTTCTGGTTTATTGACATATTCACGTATTAGCTGCTTAATATTCTTGGTGTCAGTAGAAAGTCAAATCAGAGTGCATGAAATTGCCAGATTTTAAAGGCAAAAGCAGGAGGGGCACGGAGCCCAACCAACCGTACGCCATCTTGCATGGTTAGGGAAAATACTTGATCTTATTCAAGACGCCACTGTTTTACACATGCTGCTTGTGTACACTATGGTAAGGCTTTTGAGAATGTCTATGAAGATTCTCAGTCATCCAGGTCATAGTTATCCAACAAAGGTTAAAATCAAGGGCAACTGGACTTGGTTGAAGATACTGGAAGACGTTTCGTCCCTCATCAAAAGGACTTCTTCAGTTTTGAGAATGAGCTTTTGAGAATGTGGAAACCGTTTTTTGAGTAAAACATGTTAATTACATTCCTCAAAGAGCTAAGTTAACTTCTCTCATGAAAGAGCTAATGTTAACTCTGCTTCTAACATGTGCTCCTTGTGTGTACACTGGTGATGCTTGTGAATGTTAAACTGTTTATTAGAAACATATTACATTCTTAAAAGCGCTAATTTCCCACCACCAACCCCATCCCATTGAGCTAGGTGTGTTGAACACGCTGCTGCGCTCACCGATGCTAAGATAACGGTTCGTCCTGCGGCTCACGCCGCTCTCCCGGTCAGAACTGAGTGAGAGGTTGGGTGAGGCCCGGGCGTCCACTTCACTAGCCTGACTGCTGAGTCCGCACGGTCATAATGGTCTGCTTCCACGATGTGACAGCCGAGAAACGAGCTTAAGGTGGAAACTGGGCAATGCAGCAGTCTGCTGTAACTCTGCATTCCTAGCGCGCCCACGAGGACTCGCATGGGCGCATTGCTAGATCACCGACAGTGAAATCGTGTTACAGAAACAGACATGCCAACAGAGCAGCATTCAGCTGACTAGCTGCAATGGCATGAGTCGAGCTAACGCCAATCTAGGTCAGATATAGCTGGAGAGATGCAACCAGACAACACGTCTCTTCCATCGGTGCGGCCCGTGGCACTTATCACACTGAACAGGAGCAGCGTCATTGGAGCAGCGACCTGTAGTGCGTTCAAGGACACCATGGATCAACAGACCATGGGGTATTCAAGTACACCACAGAGCAGAAAGTTGTGGTGTGTTCAAAGACACCAGGGAGCAACCGGCCCTGGTGCATTCAGGGACACTATAGCCCGTTCGACGTTGGCCCCCCCTTGAGCTAAACTTCCATTTATGGAAAGTTTGGCGGTGGAGAGTGTCGAAGATCTGTTGTTCATGTGTACACATTTTCATGCAGAATGGCGACGCCGCTGCATGCTGACAAGCTGGGTGGACAGCATTCTGAGGCTACTCTCTTCAGTTCTGCTGCATACCACCAGTTATTTTCCTGACATAATGGAAGCCAGTCTATCCTCTTAGGAGGAAGTGGAATTCCTGGCTGCCGAGATCCAGCAACTTCTGCTGAAGCAGGCTGTCTTAGGGCTCCAACATGCACAGAGGTCTTGCTCTGTGTACTTTTTGATCCCCAAAAACACGAGAAGCTTCTGAGCCATTCTGGATCTCTGCCACCTGAACCAGCATAATGGTCAAGATGGCATTTCCACATGCTGATCAAGAAAATGCTGGAGCCAGTGCAGCCCGGCAACTGGTTCACTGCCATCGACCTGAAAGACACCTATTTCATGTTGAGGTGACACAGTAACAGGGAATTTCTAGGCTTCTCCTCTCAGGGGGTAGCCTACAAATACATTAGGCTCCCAGTCAACTACTCGCTAGCCCCCCACACACTCAGCAGATGCATCGCACTGCATCTGGACCTCAGGAGGCAAAGGTGATGCATGGCCCCCCCTGCCTTTCAACTCTAGTTCAGGATTACCTACGATTCTGGGGTCTCTTACTGTCTGGCAGCGCAGGTACTGCTCAGCAGGATGTCTTCATCCGTGTCAGTCACTGGATGGAGAGGGACGTGCCAGGGGAGTGCAGTGAGTGTTGTGGCTCCCCAAGGAGAGCCGAGGGGGCCACACACCACACATCCACAATCCACTCCAGGTTGTGTTTCTAGTGTGGTGGTGCGTTTCCTCCAGCGCGTACATCAACAGATAGGGCGAAGTCCAATCCACAGCTCTGTTGCCGCTGGCAGGGAACCTATGGACGAATGCATCAGAACACCTGCTGTCTCTGAAAGCCCTTCACGTCCCAGGCTTGGAGAACGGCGGTGGCTGACCTCATGTCGAGGGCTGGCCCCCAACCGAGCAGGTGGAGACTGCACAACAATGTGGTTCAGCAGATCTGAGCTCTCTTCAGGAGAGCGGAGGTGGATCAGTTTGCCAACACCCACTCGCTGTGGTTCTCAATTCAGCCGACAGGACAGCCCACCCTGGGGGATGGCCGTGTTACTCACGTGCCATTGCCAGAAGGGCTGCTGTTTGCGATCCCCCCCAACCCATCTCATCCCTCCAGTTAGGTGAGGCGGGAACGGTCGTTCGTCATTTTGGTAGAAGTGACGCAGCCTACAGTGACAGAGCCCTGGCCTGTACCTGTTGTCTGGGGGGCTCTGTCACAAGTGTGAGGCTTTAAATGCACAATGCTGGTGTTGGACCAGCCTCTCCAGGAGAGGCAGACTCAGGCTGGTCTATCTGCTGAGGTCGCACAGACCATCCAAGCAGCGGGCAGTCTCCACCACGTCTTGCTTTAAAGCTAAGTGGTTGGGCTTTCAGCGTTGATGCATTGAGAGGGAGACGGATCTGCCTACCTGTTCATGCAAGGTCTGATGGAGAAGGGGCTGTCGTACTGCAGCTATCTCTCCTGTCATGGGGGCGTTTGGTGACAGAACCGTCTTCACCCACTCCCTCGTGATACGCTTTCTGCAGGGTGTGAGAAGACAGTGACCGGTGTCATCTCTCTCTGGAGGAGTAAGTTTTCCCACACTGGTCACACCAGTACGGTTTCTCTCCAGCGTGAACACGTCTGTGCCTTAGTAGGGTACCAGATGAAGAGTACGTTTTCCCACACTGGTCACAGCTGTACGGTTTCTCTCCAGTGTGAACACGTCTGTGCCTTAGTAGGGTACCAGATGAAGAGTACGTTTTCCCACACTGGTCACAGCTGTACGGTTTCTCTCCAGTGTGAACACGTCTGTGCCTTAGTAAGGTACCAGATGAAGAGTACGTTTTCCCACACTGGTCACAGCTGTACGGTTTCTCTCCAGTGTGAACACGTCTGTGCCTTAGTAGGGTACCAGATGAAGAGTACGTTTTCCCACACTGGTCACAGCTGTACGGTTTCTCTCCAGTGTGAATTCCGTGATGAGTCTTAAAATTTCCAGATGTTGCGAAGGATTTTTCACAGTGCTGTCAGCAATGGCGTTTGAGTCCATCTCTGTTTCTATAACAACTGACAGACAGAGATGTGGACAGTGAGTGAGATGTCATTTATTTATTTAACAGGGACAATGCACAATATATGTACTGTACCATAGCTAAAAGCTAATTCCCATCTACATGATAGAGGCGCAACAACTAATTAACTTAGTTGATGAACATTGATTATTAAATTCATTGCCAACTATAGTTTCAGTGTAATTAGTTATAATACAATATTACTGTCTTTTTAGTTACTTTCACTGCAGTTTAATAGGAGCGTTCATCTTCACTGGTCTCACGATTTGATTACGATGGAGGGAGGCAGCCTACACAATATCCACACAGAGGTACAGAGAGTAAAGATGATGCTGTTATAGACTAAATGAAAAATGGTACAGATATTTATAGTAGTGTTAATGATAATAATCGTAATGTTAATGATTATAATAACAATAATAACAATAGGACTAGTAACAATAGTTGTAGCAGAGGGTGTCGAGCAGGAACGTGGCAGCAGGCGACCCACTGGCAACCACAGATCCAAACTCCACGGCTCCAGAGGCAGAAACACCTGCAGGAAGTGACAGGAGGAGAGAGGAGAGGGACGAGAAAGCACAAGACTACCAGAAAGGGGAGAAGTTGTGTTAGTAACATGTAATAATGTGATGAGGTTGCATACAGAGGGAGAGAAAGTAGAGGAGAGAGGAGCTCAGTGCATCATGGGAAATCCCCCGGCAGTCTAGGCCTCTAGCAGCATAACTAAGGGATGGTTCAGGACTCACCTGAGCCAGCCCTAACTATAAGCTTTATCAAAGAGGAAAGTCTTAAGCCTACTCTTAAATGTGGAGATGGTGTCTGCCTCCTGAACCCAAACTGGAACCTGGTTCCACAGGAGAGGAGCTTGATAGCTGAACGCTCTGGCTCCTAGTCTACTTTTGGAGACTCTAGGAACCACAAGTAACCCTGCATTCTGGGAGCGCAGAATTAGTAAAGATTCAGGTACACGCACTACACACAGATGTGTAGTGATGGTGTAACCCTCCCCTCCGTGTCTCTGCTGGGACGTCCTCACGGGCAGCATGTTGTCTCTGGGTCATTCTGCTTCCTCCGTCCTCCAGCCGGTGACCCAGAGATCCACCGAGCTCCTCCATCATCCAGGATGTTCCCCTCACTTTCACAGGTGGAGCAGAGAGGAGCCCCGGCTGGATCCTATGAGGACGTCTGTTGCCGGGCAGAAACAGGCTGCTTGTTGATTGGTCGGCCGATCTGACGGACAGTAAAAGTGGAAATTCTAATATTAATATTCCTCCAGAAGTGTAAAAGGGAATAACAGCAGCAGCAGAGGCTCTGAACGTCTTCATGATGATTCAGCAAATGAAAATGATTCCATGTGTGTGGAATCCAAATCAGAAATGAATCCTAAATACTCTTTATTGCTCCCTCACATGTGGGTCCTGAATCCTGGAGCTGGTTTAACTGAGTCTGGGTCTCTCTGGGTGATCTGGTCTCAGTGAGTCTAACAAATGTTGAATTAAATTTAGAAATGTTTGTAGATGGGTTATTTATGTGCGGTTTCATTGTTTGGATGGTATCACTGCAAACAATGACAAATATTTTAGCCAAACAAACAAACTTTACAATTACTCAAGTTTATAAGCAATTTCTCATCCATCAACAGCCACAACATAAGCATCTCAGCATCCACTGGTTATGTGGAAAGGATATTTTCCAGAAGGAACCAACAAAGTGACAGCAAGAACAGGTGCTCTGTGGAGCTCATTAGGAGGGAGCTGTTGATCACTCTCAACTGTGAGCAGTCCTGTTCATAGTTTTACTGCAGCTGTTTGAAAGACAGTGCTGCACGAGTAGTGTACAAGAAAACACGTCTTTTGGTAGCCTATAACGCTGCGACTCTGTGGACAGTTGCACTGAAAACACTTACTGTGGTCTACTTTACTGCAGTAAGCACTATTTAATATGTAACCTATAAAACTGATCAATGAACATGTTCATTGTCCACTCCATCATGGTCCGCCTTGGCACGCATTCATATTTCTAGCTCCACCCGATTAAAATGGGCTTTACCTGTTGCCATGGTGAATCTTAGAATTGGAGCTCCATTGTTGATGGCTTTTTTTCATCCCCATCCACGCGCTTAAAATCAAATCAAATCAAGCCAGTTGAAACTCATCAGTTAGCTAAACTTCAAATGTGCCTTCAGGATGTTAAAACCTGGATGACCTGTAATTTTCTAATGTTAAACTCAGATAAAACTGAAGTTATTGTTCTGGAGCACCTCCGTGACGCATTATCTAAAGATATAGTTTCCCTTGATGGCATCGCCCTGGCCTCCAGCACCACTGTGAGGAATCTTGGAGTTATCTTTGATCAGGACATGTCGTTTAAGTCCCACATTAAGCAAATTTCAAGGACCGCCTTTTTTCACCTACGTAATATTGCGAAAATCAGGAACATCCTGTCTAAAAATGATGCAGAAAAACTAGTCCATGCATTTGTTACTTCTAGGCTGGATTACTGCAATTCCTTATTATCAGGCTGCTCGAAAAAGTCCATTAAGACTCTTCAGCTGATCCAGAATGCTGCAGCACGTGTTCTGACAGGAACCAGGAAAAGAGATCACATTTCTCCTGTTTTAGCTTCTTTGCTTCGGCTTCCAGTAAAATCCAGAATAGAATTTAAAATCATTCTTCTTACCTACAAAGCTCTTAATGGTCAGGCACCATCTTATCTTAAAGAGCTCATAGTACCTTACTACCCCACCAGAGCACTGCGCTCCCAGAATGCAGGGTTACTTGTGGTTCCTAGAGTCTCCAAAAGTAGACTAGGAGCCAGAGCGTTCAGCTATCAAGCTCCTCTCCTGTGGAACCAGGTTCCAGTTTGGGTTCAGGAGGCAGACACCATCTCCACATTTAAGAGTAGGCTTAAGACTTTCCTCTTTGATAAAGCTTATAGTTAGGGCTGGCTCAGGTAGTCCTTAACCATCCCTTAGTTATGCTGCTATAGGCCTAGACTGCCGGGGGATTTCCCATGATGCACTGAGCTCCTCTCTCCTCTACTTTCTCTCCCTCTGTATGCAACCTCATCCCATTATTGCATGTTACTAACACAACTTCTCCCCTTTCCGGTAGTCTTGTGCTTTCTCGTCCCTCTCCTCTTGTTGGGTCAGATGTGCAACCAGGCTGGGCCCGTTAAGCCTGGTCCCCACCTTCACCAACTTAATAAACTTTGTCAAAAAATACTCCATTAGTTTTCTACGGTGGTCAAAAACTTCTCTGGAGACGGTCAAGAGTCAGTGCAAAAGAGTTTATTCCAAAACAGGACACATAAACCCGTACAACATCCCAGCAGGCCGGAGGATGAAGTCCCTCCTATGGTCTGCAGACAGTCTTATATATCTCTCTTCTGGGCTGGTTTTGCCAGCCTCCTTTCCTCATGATGAACCTCTTTTCCTCTGTTATTGTGTTGTTTTTACCAATTAACACTGTTCCCCTGCTGTCATTTATTACTTTATTGTTGACTTTCTACATCTTTATACTACTGGATAAGAAGTTCATCATTTACATTTCAACTTCAGTCTCACCGTATTTTTTAGGTTACGCATGCTTAATTTGACACACAACTGTATTTTTTAAACAATTAACATAAGTAAAGTTGCATTTTTCATTACTGCTTGGTGTCTTACAGCAATCTTGATGTTATGCTGGCCGCTTTCTGCTTATCATCTGTCTGTCGTGTTTTTGCAAAGCATGAATTTCTACAGCAAGTTCACTCAAAGCCCACACAGGTCATAAACAAATTCACTCAGAGCTCACACTGGCTATAATAACCAGAGGTTGGAAGTTGACAATCAAGCCCTTACTCAGTAATTAAGCATGTAGTCTTAATATCAGTAGAATGACACTTCGGCAGTTCATCATGTTATAACAACAGTGGATATCAGTAGACCCAAGCATGCACTGTCACAGTGTCAGCAGATCTTGCACACCTGCAGCCTCTCCTATGGTCATAATCTACAGTAGATGACAGTTGGACAAGGCAAACCACCTGCAGCCACTTCCTGCAGTCATTCCTCCCACTTAAGAATCTAACCACAGTGAGCTTGTTTCTGTGTTCATGACTACAGTTCACTACTTATAAGTAAAAACCAAAGCATATCTAGGTAAAAAGAAAATGATTAATACTAGTAAAATGATAAAAAATGATGATATAAGAATTATTACTTAAAGTAACTGATTAAAGATAATAAAACTGATTAAAAGGATTAACAATGATTATTAATATTGATTAAGGATAATCACTGATGACTGTTTCTTGCCTGATGTCTAACTTTTTGTCTGCAATGCTCCCCCTCTCTGTGTCCTAGGCATGCTCTCTGCTGATCATTATTATTATTTTAACCAAAAACCTGACTTTGTGGAATAAGCTGGTGTCTCTTGTGCTGTGTGCTATAGACAGGACATTCTTACTGTATTGATGTGTGTTTTGTAACACAATTTTCACCAATTGTGCTTCTACATTTCCTTTGCTGCTGTTTTTTGATGATGCCTTGCTGTGCTCATTCTGCTCCCAGAATTACACACACATGTGCTACTGTTACTGCCTCCGGGCAGCTAGACACAGAGAGGACCACACACTCAGCTATAGAGTCTTAACGTTGTGATCTTAACTTAACTTTACACTATAAAATAACAATCTAAATGATGACAATAGTTATAGAGTTTTGACACTGTAATCCTAACCTTAAAATAATGCTTTAAATTATGCCAATGCAGACCACCTTCACTCTAGCAATTAATGATAACAATTTAGGCTGTAATGCTCTAAAATAATTCTCAACACTCTATCCTCCTATCACTTCCTGCAGGTGTTTCTGGCTCTGGAGCTGTGGAGTCTGGATCTGTGGTTGCGGGTCACCTGCTGCCCCCGTGTTCCTGCTCGACACCCTCTGCTACAACAACTAATGTTAATAGTCCTATTGTTATTATTGTTATTATAATCATTAACATTACGACTATTATCATTAACTCTACTATAAATATCTGTACCATTTTTCAATTAGTCTATAGCAACATCACCTTTACTGTCTGTACCTCTGTGTGGATATTGTGTAGGCTTCCTCCCTCCCCTCTCTCTCTCCTTCCATCCCTCTCTCTCTCTCCTTCACCCCAACCGGTCGAGGCAGATGGCCGCCCACCCTGAGTCATGGTTCTGCTCGAGGTTTCTGCCTCTTAAAGGAAGTTTTTCCTTGCCTCTGTCTCCTAGTGCTGCTCTTGGTGGGAACTGTTGGGCTTCTGTAAATAGCATCATAGAGTACGGTCTAGACCTGCCCTTTGTGAAAAGTGCTGTGAGATAACTGTTGTTGTGATTTGGCGCTTTATAAATAAAATTGAATTGAAAATTTAATAGGCACCTCTACACAAAAGGGTGGGATTCCAGGTTTTTCAGGGTGTCTGGAACACCCTGGAGTTCTTACTCAAATGATCCAGGAAGCCAAGGGACTGTTAGGTGACCTTACAATTGTCTGGCTGGACTTAGCAAATGCATATGGATCTATCCCCCATACCTTGATCCAAGTAGCAATGAACCACTACCATATCCCAGATCATATTAAGGGAATGATCAGCAGCTACTTTGGAGGCATTGAATTACGGTTCAGAACCACCAAATTTACAACACGATGGCAAAGCTTGGAGAAAGGAATTGTAACTGGGTGCACAATCTCCCCCATCCTGTTAATTATGGGAATGAACCTCATTATTACAGCTGCTGGAAAAGAAACAAGAGAGCCAAAAATGGCCTCTGGAAGCCGACAGCCAGCCATCAGAGGGTTCGTGGATGATCTAACCCTCATAATCACGACCCATATATCAGTGCTTGAACGCACAGCCACATAGGCCAGGATGAGGTTCAAGCCCAAGAAATCAAGAAGCTTGGTGATCAGAACTCAAAGATCTAAGACTTTCTCTTTGTACACAAAATGCCTATCTCCCTCAAATATTGCTCACAAATCTGTTTTAATTATATGGACACATTAACTGTTGCAAACAGTACAAACATCCCACAGAGGAGATGGTGCATGGGTTGGTGCAGGAGCAACGTTGAGAGCTTCAGTCTGCTTCAAAGAAGAGCTTCT